GCATTTTTTTTTGTAGGGGAGCGTAATGTGCCGGTAAGCCCGTGCCCACTAGTTGGGGCCCAATAAAAAGCTTGTTCCAGTTTCCAGCCCCACCTACTTAGTTTTAGTCATTTTTTTGTTGAGAAACTAGTATGTTAGCCTTGGTGCTACCTTTGCTTGTATATGGGTCCAGGCCTAACCGAAATTAGGCTTTTGGCAGCGCGGACCAAGCTAGATTAGTTTTTTTTAGCCTACTTCATTTTTTCCTTTTCAAGGTACCTTCAGTGTCTTTTTATTTTGAGAAAGGGGGGTTGGTACCTTATTTATAGTTTTAGCATTAACCGTTTTAGAATTACATGTTGCTATATCACAACCTCATGATGCTACAAATCTTCATAAAAAATGAGTCATTTCATAATAATTGAGTAAAATTGAGAAGCCAAAGACTTTTGGGGGTACAGAAGTACTGAACGTGGTGTTCAATGGTTGACAAGGCAATTACAAATGCATGTCATGTGAAGAAGAAGAAAAACATGTTATACAATGGACTGTATTTTAGTGTTATTTCTAATAATTAATGTTTGCATGTGTTCTGAAATTATGAAATAACTAAAATTAAACTCGAAAATATGTAACTGAGAAATGACATCTTGTATGCTATAGAAATTAACTTATCAAAAATCCATTTCTGCACCCGAGTCATCTGCACCCGCGCTGACAAAAAAATCAAAACAAATAGCAGAAAAATTCTGAAAATCCAAAAAAAAAAATTTGTGCGGTAGAAAAATTGATGCGTGAGGTCCACTCCAATTTTCAAATCATTTGGACATCTGAGGAGCTCTCAGCAAAAAGGAGAAATTGGAGGTATGTAAAAATGTTTACTGTTCATGGACTGTTTTGGTCCGGTTTGTCTTTCTTGCTGACAGCTGCTCAGATGTTCAAATGACTTGAAGTTTGGAGCGGGCCTCACGCATCAAATTGTATACCGCACAAAAAAATGAATTTTTTATATTGTTTTGAATTTTTTACAAATTTTTTTCTAACCGGCTGCAGGTGAGCCTGGGCATTGAAACGCTCTACTCTTAACTTATCTTGCTTACTAAGATATTATTTCTTAGATAAGAGAAGGCAAACCTTCTTTTCTCTGTTTACTAAGAGCATCTCTAATAGATCCCGTATAAGTTGACCCTTAAAAACGTGTATAAGATGCACTGTAAACCATTTTTACGGTGCGAAATTGCCCCGGGCAGAGC